TTGATTTTGCTGGATGTTGAATAATAGTCCAAACTCTTTACAACAGCTGCTTTGGGAGCAGACGTTTAAGTAGCCTGCGAAAACATCCGTTTCTCCTTGCTCTTCGCCGCTCGGCACGTTTCGCGCGAAGGAAAAACTGCGACTCAGCGACAGAAATTCCATACTGATGACCTAAATCAATGTTTAAAAATAAATCCGGTAGTCATGGGGGTTCCAAATGCAAATTTGTTCAATTTTACGTTTCTCCTGGTCGATTTTGGTGAAGTGTTGTGTTCATCTACGAACGAGCTCCAGCAAAACTCAAATGCTTTTTCTAGAGAAGAATAAATTCCACAAATATTGACTGTTTTGTTAGAGATTCGTCGCGTTTACATTTGACCTTTGTGGCCTTTTTGTCTTTTTTCTGTCATTCGTAAACAATAGCTAAAACAATGTAACTACTCCGTAGACCAATCAGGGCTTCTGACCGATTCCGGAGAGATTTTACGTCATCAGTATGAAATTTCTGTCGCTCAGTCGCAGACAGTCGCAGACGTTTTAGCTCTCAACATTCCTTTCCCATTGCAGGCGTTTTTGACAGGCTAAACGCGACTAAAACGGGTTACCGTTTTCCTTCTTTTTTCCTTCGTTAAGGTTATATTCCCTTGTTTTTGCCGCTCTGAATCTAACATTTTTTGGAGGTTAGAAAGTTTTTCCAGTGTTTCATGCAGATCGAGTAACTAAAACGAGGTCAACTTTCCAGAAAAAAGTACAATGTGATTGGCTAAGCATGGGAAAGGAATGTTGTTTTCGGTTGAGCAGGCGCTTGTGGGGAGGGAGCTCCCCTAAAACGTATCGCAGACGTTCCTCCTCCCGAAATGTCCCCAGCGGCGAGGAACGTGGAGAAACGGATGTTTTCGCGGGCTAAGAAGTAAGCAGCTTCTGTGAGGCAGTGAGAGGAAGTAGTTTTCACTAATAAATGAATTTTAATATTACTTTACCTTCATGGCCTTTAAGCTCGCATGTTGGTGATCTTAGGCAGGCTGTAGCTGAAGCATCTGGGTTATCAACACCTTCAATAAAACATTAAAAGTTGACTGAGAAAGTTTTCTTTTTAAAAATACTGTTTTGGACAAAAGTTGAATTTCATTTTCCCTTAGCTTGTCTCTCTGATTGATTCATAAACATGATATTCTGATTAAAAAATATATATATCTACACCTAGGAAATGCAAAAAATATAGTCAGGAAGTATGTATGTAGTCAGGAATCTTAACAGCTGATTTTTTTTAGTAAAGGCTGGCTAATGAGCATTTCCAACCAACACTGTTTGTTTTTCTTTATTCTTACTTAACAACATGAACACTCAGTCCCTCTTCACAATGATGTAATATTTACCCTCAAACTCTTCATCTGTTATGTTATCAGCTTCATCTGCCGAGCCGGGATGGGAGCGCTGTTAAAAAAGATTTACAATAAAGCTTCAACTAAATTAATGACAAGCAAAGAGTGATTATTTATTACATTATAGTGGGGCTGTCAATCGCGCAAAAAGCGTGCTCAGAGGAGCACCATGGGTAGTGCTTAGCAAGAACATACTTTTTTATTGGGGACACTGTTCTTAGTCTCCTACTGGAGACGGAACCGCCGTTTTACTTGGTTATCCAAGCCACCCGAAGGTCTAGCTGTTTGCAGGGCAACAGGCAGTAACTTCAACCCTGAGTATTAATGTCCAGCATGGGAATAGAGCCCGGGACCTTCTGCTCTGCACTCAAGCGCTTTACCAACAGAGTTTATCCTACCGCGGTAGAAACGGTTGGTGAGAGACCATCATCATCATAAGCAGCATCATGATCAAAGTTTGCAGGGCAACAGGCAGGCTGTACCTTCAACCCTGAGTATTGGTTCGGCATGGGAATAGAACCCATGACATCCTGCTATGCAGTCAAGTGCTCTACCGACTGAGCTACCCTACCGCAGTTAAAAGAGGTCACTTTACTAGAAAGGTTTCGCTTTTAGTGTGCCCTCTAACCAGTGTTTTAAAACTTGTCTAATATGATTGTTCGTGAAACTTTCTCTTACCTCTTCAGGTTTTGAGACAATGGCCCTCCAGATATGACAAGTTCCATCTCCTGATCCTAAAAAGGGAAAATTGAGAGTATATGCATCAGCAACAAGGAAAAGCCTCAAAGCTAAATCGTTGTGTTCAAGTGATTCTAGTTAAATATTGCAGGCATAACTATACACAACACTGTCTGGCAAATACATTTTGTGTAGACTGCCTTGTATTATTTAAACTTTTCATTTTAAAGTTTACCATTTACTGTGAAGAAACTCCAACATTTTAGAAACAAGAAACTACAGTCATGTCCAAATGGCTTCAGATGAAACTTTCTACTTGAGAGTAACTAAGATATCTTGAAATAACAGGTTAGTGACTTGATAATTGTAGGATACCAGCTCACAGTGGACAAGGCTTCTAATTACAAACAGCTTACAATGTATATGTTGTAGTTAATTTT